AGAAGCTTATTAGAGTCCTTGACCCCAGATACGAGCTACCTGGTCGGAAACATTTTGCACTGACTGCACTTCCTGGGCTGTATGCAGAGTGTAGGGAGATGGTAGAGCAGCAGCTGCAAACGATGCCATTCTTCGCCACTACTTCTGATTTTAGCCTTTAAAGCACTTTAAACTTTGCAGTCTGTCTGAGCCATCTTCTATGTGTGTTTTATCACACTGCAGTATTTAATTTTTCTATTAAGATTTATTTTGTAAATTTTACTCATGCATATTTTGACATAAAAAGGACTTGAATACTCCCTACCTCAGATTTGTTTAATGTTTCTGCTGTTTGGCAAGTGTTTGTTGTGTTCTTAAAATAAAGAGTTGTTTAATTTACCAATTAACTGTCTGGTTTCTTCAACTTTCACTCAGGAGAAAAAATCTGCCTTTAAACTTGAAAGAAATAATGATTTGACATTTATCGTGATAATTATCGATATCGACTGATATGAACATTTTTATCGTGATAATGTTTTTAGCCATATCGCCCAGCCGTATTATTATGTTTATTATTTTTGAAGATCTGGTTTCATTACAAGAGAATTATAATTATTTAATTATTTATATCCTTTTTACCCAAAAATCCAAACTTCGGAACAATGCAGATTAACACTAAGAGAATGTTTCTTTAAAAAAGCAAAACTCAAGCAATCTCACACAAAGAACATGCACTTCAAAACATGTGAAAATAAGCAAAAAGGAATTCACAGTTTAAACCTTAAAGGGCCTAAAATTAAAGGTTTAAAATTAGTATATTTGTGAGTGTCCTTACATAAGAACTGAAGGGTCACTGCTCTGTCGGCTCAGGTGATAGGAGACGGCCACAAGCAGCCCGCAGAAGACAGAGAAGAGCACGGGAATGTGCTGAGCATCCCACGATTCCTGTAACAAAGCCACACACTTTGTGTTCACTGAACATGACCACACATACAAGGGGTGTATCCCCACACATTGACTTCACAAGGCAAGATCACACATCCACCACACACTTTGTGTTCACTGAACATGACCACACATACAAGGGGTGTATCGCCACACATTGACTTCACAAGGCAAGATCACACACCCACCACACTCTTTGTGTTCACTGAACATGACCACACATACAAGGGGTGTATCGCCACACATTGAGTTCACAAGGCAAGATCACACACTCAACACACATTTTGTATTCACTGAACATGACCAAACATACAGTACAAGGGGTGTTTGGGCACACATTGACTTCACAAGGCAAGATCACACACTCAGGCTTCCCTTTACTACACGTCACAACATAGCATCTTGAGATGTTTGAACTCAATATACATGAAATATTGCTGTGATCTCTAGTAGACAGGATCACATACTCAAAATATATTTTTAAAGATTCCATAAAATAATAATATTTTTTATAAGATTGATAAAAGTGCATTAGTACAGACCTCCATGAAGTAGTCAGTAAGAAAAACCAAGATACAGAAGTACAACTTGCTAGCTGCATACAGTAAATACAGCCATCAATACAAAACTGTTAAAAAAGTCTTAGTTATATTGATGACCATGTCCAAGATAAGTTAAAAAAATCAGTAGGCAATGAAAATGGGACAGATGTGGGCATCTTTCCTATACCTATTGCCAAGTACAGTAGATTGTTACAAAGCAATGCAGTGGCTGAAGTACATAGTATATTCTGTAAAAGTCTGACCTAATCTTACAGCGATAAAGGAGAAATCTGTAAAGCTTCCAAAGCAAATGGCATCAAAAGGATAAAGATCTGGACCAGTACACTTCTGATAGCAATCTAAGGCATAACCCAGGTTGTTTGGCAACTCACTATCCTTCTCTAGAACATAGACGAGACGGCGAGTGGCGTTTACCTTCAAAGCGCCATAGCAGAGGACGTACAGCATGGCCACGGCGATCAGGCTGCGAATAACACTGTACAGGGCAGAGGGCAGGCTGGTGCAGGCTGGAAGACACACAGCACCTTCAGGCTCAAACCAGAAAGACTCACAACTGCTAGCGGGTGCTAGTGTCCTGGATCTCAAGAACGAATTTACTGCAACATTTGAAATACTGCTTACTATGATTAATGAGTGTACCAAAACCTACAAGAGATATTGCGGGTGAATATTTTTATTGTAGTCATAAATTACTAAATACTTGTTTCAATAACTGTGTTGGTACACACATAAATTTGCAGATTTGAAAAACAAATTATCCTATGAACATGGGATTTTCTAAATTAATACATGGGCCACCTACAAAAGCAGGATGTCTGGCAATATTACGTCCATGTACATTGTCCCACTATTCAGAAGTGGACTTAAACATGGTATGGCTCTGTTGATGCTAATTTAAACTTTCAGACATAGCTTCAAAAAACTGACTGGTTGAACATGAACAAACTCAGCATCATTAATAATAAGTACCAATGCATTACAATGACATGATGAACTGCAAGTCGATAAGATATGCTCCTTTGAACACCCTGCTCACCATTTCCTCCAAAGACATGAATGTCCACTTGCTCGAAGAGGTACATAACAAAGGTGTTGACTTGTGGGAGGAGACCAATGAAGAACACGAGGGGGAAACACAGCGTAAACACTGCAGGGAAGTAAATCGCAGCAGTCAGGAAAGATTGGTCAACAGGAAACGCGCTAGAACAAAAGTGTCACTTTTTCCCCCATCCAATGACTACTGTGCCTTGTGTTCACCTCTTTCCTGTGACAAATCATTTTTTGGCTTTACAAAAGTGTACATGTTTTTAAAGTGGATATTTTTAAACAAACATGAATGCACAAACTTCAAAAGCTTTATGGATGAAAGAACTTTAATGTCAGCAATAACTACAACTAAAGATTGAAAACTTTTCATCAAATAAGTGTTCAGCTGAGTCAATACTTGGTGGAAACACCTTTAGCACCAATTAATCCATTTTACCCATAAAAATATTCACTTTGAACATTTAAATTTGGATTATATTTATCTCTATTTTGATGATAATCTCTTCAATAAAAGTGTATGCATCCTTTGTAATTTAACAAAACATCACTTTAAGAGCTTGAATACTTTTGCTAGGCACTACATGTGTAGTTCTGTATGTCCACTGAATTAGGGGACAACTCAAATGAACACAATAACACTTATGTCTCAAGGAATATGAAAAAATAACAAAACTTTTCTACAATCAACAGAATACATAGTAGGATTTTTCAAAGCTTTTTTGCTCCAGAGTGCAATTTATTCAGAATTTGCTGAAAGTATAGTAGCATGACAATACTGGTCACAACAGTACAACAAAATACAAATGGAAAGGTTTTTCCATTTCAAAAGAGTTCTAGAGGGGCTCTTTTGCTCTTCAAAACTTGCACTGGAGAAAAATGCTTTGGACGTTGACCTTTTAGCTTTAGAAGTTTATAGTTGTAGCTTCAAAATGGAGTCACAGCTGTAAACTTCATCCTAGACAGTGGACACAGTTAAAGGGCTAAACCACATTTAGTTGGTGGTTTTGGGATTTTTGAACAACACTGATTTAAATTAGTCCAGTTTGGAGACTATATTCCTTTTAACAGCCAATTTCATTCTCTGAAGTCCTCTGACTGTTTTAAAAGGCCTCAGGATTCAGTTGTTCTATATTGGTTCAATCATAATTCAACGCTGTAAGTGTTCAGCAGAATGTTTACAAGTATTTCTCTTGAAAACTATTGAGAAAATAACTTTTAAATTAAAAATATTCACAGCCAGTCAAGTGCTTTCTTGCCAAGACAGCAGCATCATTGTTTAAAAATGCTCCCGATTTTGCTCCTGGTGGCGTTTCTTTTCCATGTCATTTCACTCATGAACAGGGGTTTGTTGATATGAGATCAGATGCAAACACGCGTCATCTGGCTGAAGTTTTGAATTAAATTTCAAATTGATCAACTTCTATAAAGAATTCTATCCCATGGCTGGAAGGTGGTTTCAACAGTTTTGATCAACTAATAATAATATTAATAATTGCTTACACTTATATAGTGCTTTTCTGGACACTCCACTCAAAGCGCTTTACAGGTAATGGGGACTCCCCTCCAACACCACCAATGTGCAGCATCCACCTGGATGATGCGACAGCAGCCACAGTGCACCAGAACGCTCACCACACATCAGCTATCAGTGGGGAGGAGAGCAGAGTGATGAAGCCAATTCATTTATGGGGATTATTAGGAAGCCATGATTGGTAAGGGCCAATGGGGAATTTGGCCAGGACGCCGGGGTTACATCCCTACTCTTTTCGGGAAACGCCCTGGGATTTTTAATTTAATTTTTAATTTTTAACTAATGATGACTCTATAATGCTTCATTTCATCTGAGTAACGATTTACTGTAGATCTCTTTCTGAACCCAAGTCCTGAGGCTGAGGCCAAAGATTTAAGAAACGCCTGTAAGGCACAGATATCTTTAATTCGTCACCTGCCAACATCCAGATGAAGACGGAAAGAGGGACCAATTAAGAAAATAATTAATAAAATTAAGTTACGGACTTGGGGAGGAAAACATGGCTGAAGCGATGTGCTCCTTAAGGAGAGTGATTTTGGAACTTGTGAAACCAGCATCTCTGCAGTTTCCTCTACACCCAGAGCTGAGCACCCCTGCACCCTGCCTCACCTATGACGAGGTCCCTGGCGGACGTGAGGAGCAGCGAGCTGGTGAAGGCCACGCCGTACAGAGTGAAGCGGGCCGAAGATGTTCTCTCGCTGCCATAGTTGAGCAGCCAGATGAGGCCGCAGCACAGGCAGAAATACACCGGCCTGCTGTAGGCGATGATCCGATTGTGGCCCTGATGGGGGAGTTAGAGGAGACCATGAGAGAGAGAGGAAAAAGCAGCTTTACCTGGAATAAAACATGCTTCTCGAGGCTGAAAGCTACGCCACAATATGAACAACGGTGTACAGAGAAATCTAAGCTTCATTTTACTCCTATGACTATAACATATCCAGTGTTAAATCCCATTAAAAGAATCACAACACCACATTTTATTGCACAACTCAAAAAGAGCAATTAAAACAGCTTAAAAATAAACTAAAAAGTTTTGTGATATCCAGAAGTTTTAAAAATCCTTCTAGTGTTTGCAAAACATACTTTATTATCAGGGTCCCAGAAAGGCACTCTTGGCATTTTCAGGGGTCCAATGTGAGTAATATGTGAAGATGCATGGCAATGTGAAGCAGCTGCTGTCTCTTTCTATCAAACTCACTGCCAGAGCCGCAGCCGTTTGTTAAGAATCCCCAGTCTTAAACTGGTCTGGAATCGGGGAGTGTCCAATCACCACCCCCCACCCCAACAATCTTTACTTCTTCTTGTGTGTAGTTACACACCAAAACAATTATGTATCACATCCAGCCTGAATCAATTGACATTAATGGTAAACCAAGTGTTCCTGAAGGCAGAGGTAAAATGCTTTAGAGGCCCACACTGAAGATAGAGTTGAGAGGGCACAAATTATTTTCAAAAGATAAACACATTTCATATACAGTGGTGTGAAAAAGTGTTTTCCCCCTTCCTGATTTCTTATTTTTTTGCATGTTTGTCACACGGAAATGTTTCAGATCATCAAACAAATTGAAATATTAGACAAAGATAACACAAGTAAACACAAAATGCAGTTTTTAAAT